CCATCCATCCATCCATCCATCCATCCATCCATCCATCCATCCATCCATCCTCCCTTTAATATTACAACCCTGCCAACTGTAGAAATAATTGTCTTACAGTTAATTAAATTAGTTAATTGTATTTTAGAAAATAAAAAAAAGTTTAGACCTGAAACCTTTGCAGGAACGTCATTCTCCAGACTGCACATATACACACATGATGTTCCAGATTCCTTTGTCTACTTCCTTGTGAACTGTTTTCTGTTTCTGGCCATGTTTTGCTTTAAAATTCAGTCCATAACTTGCCCGTGCTACAGGCAGTGTCATATTTTCCTTTTTTTTCCCTCTATCATGTGGAGACAGGATCTTATTGTCATTCAGATTATACACCATATGGTGCACACCAAGAGGAAATATCAGTGCAGTGGGTCTGAAAGGCTGAAAGACTGTAGAAAAGGAAAAATATATAGAACAACTCCAGGATATATTGAAAACATTACAAGTAACAGAAAGAAACACAAATATTACACCTTACTTGTGTGAGAAATATTCCACAGAAACAGATGTACATCCCAAATTCTCTCAACATTGTGTTCACGGTTTATTTCTCACTTGGTTGTAGCTTTAAGGTTCTTGTTTCCATTTTATTATGTAATGGAACCTACGTTTATCTTCTCTAGCTCAATAAAGCCCCTATATGTGGAGGAACTCTGTGTTTCTGACCACGCTGGTCCCTCTTCTGTCTTCCCCTTGCTGCTTCTTTTGTAATTCTGGAAACAGCATGAAAACAGTTTGAGCTTAGAGGGATTTGACACTGCTCGTTCATTCCAGTGCTGGTATATGGAGCAATGATCATTATCACGGCTACCCTCATCATCATCATAAGTGTGCAGCTTCGGCTCAGATGATGCGGCCTAAAGGCTTTGAGTAAACATTATGTAAGTGCTGCTGAATATTCAAATTCTTAGTAATGAAATACAACCTTTCCTGATGGATTGGTGTGGGCAGGAACTGAGTCATGTTTGCACTGGATCTCAATTTCATGCATTTTTATGAAGAGGTTCTGCATAGAGCGATTCGGGAGCCGGTTCTCAAAGTGTGACGGTGTCTTTGTTTTGTCGCCGCTGAGATGCGTAACCTGATACATTAAGAACAATATGATGCATTTAAGATACATGAGCTGCAAAACACAAACTCATTTTTCCCCACAGATTTAATTATAAAATGTACTGTGTGTTTTCAAACTGATAAAATTTGATTTGCATGGAGGAAGATTATGGACTGAGATTAAATGAGAATATCTTTTTAATTTGGTTTACTTCAGAAATGCGTGGAAGAATAAAAAAAGCAGGGTATTGCAATTTTATTACAAGATTTCCTGCATTATGAGAAGTCTTTTTTTGGTTCCTCTGTAGTGAGAATCAACATGTAATTTTAATGTATGGACAATAAAAAACAATTATAAAGGTCTTTTTAAGTGCTCATAAATACGAAAAGGTAAACTTAATGAAACGCACTGGCAGGAAAAACAAAACAAAAACTACTTTTGTGATTAAATAAACTTTAGTATAAAAGAGCTTCGATGTGGAAAAGCAAAAAGAGCAAATAGTAAGATATAAAAAAGAAAATCTTGCAGCAAGTCAGAGTATTATCTTCACTTGCCGTGTCATAAGGTGTTTCAGCATGAAATGTAGTTGAAGTAAATGTTCAGGTGCCAAATAAAACACTGATTCATCTCAATCAGCCAGAGATGAAAATCATCTCTTTTCCTTTGGATCAGCTCTGATTGGTTACTGGAACGAAGAGTCAAGAATCAATGCTAAGAATTTTCACCTTTTTGGTATGAATAAAAAAAAAATCAACAATCAGTATTTCATTTGCTGCCCTTTGAGTTTTAATAAAACTCTGTTACAGAATCTTGACTACAGTCTTTGGAGGAAAAACAAATCATAAACTTGGTTTTAGTTTGAACAGAAAACCTCATGTACACAGTAAACCAGGCTGCAAGTACAGACATATTACCAGGGTTGCATCAAGGAACTTTTTGGACCTAATAGAAGTCTTAAAAAAAGAAATGTATAGAAAAAACCAGCAGTAGTTTAGTTAATGTGTGCTTTCAGAGTTGTGAGAGCTAATGGGAATACATTTTCCCTGAATTTTTTTGTCCTGGACCTTCAGGGTCTGCCAAAAGGCAGCAGGTCAAACAGGTGGTAGGCGTGACGGGTGAAGTCCTTGACGATGAGCATTGCTCTGCTGAGGCAGCAAGAAGTGTAGCTTTTCCTGCTGCATCTTGACCACCTTCTGTGACCTCTTCCCGTCTGCTTTGACGTGGTTTGCCCACTGCACTGAGGCAGATGGGCAGATTTAGCAGAAAATAGTCAAGATGGAGAAAAAGAAATGTGTGTAATGCACAAACCACAGCGGGTAGAGGAAGGTAGCAAGAAGGTTACTAGCAGCCTTAGGTTGATGATATCCCTCCTTAGAAATCTTAGGAAGCGTAAATGACGTTCTGCCTTCTTTACGACAGTCAAGGTATTAGCAGACCAGGCCAATACTGCACCTTAAGCCGGGCTTACACTGTGCGATTTTTTTTTTCTGCCCTTTTCGGGCCGACTTTCCTATGGTGTGAGAATTTTTGGAACGGGTCGAATTTCAGCCTGATCGTGCGTCGTGTAGTGTACAGGGGGTAACGAGGGGTGATCAGCCTTTCAAGACCACCTCCCGATCAGTAATCGTGAAGTTGACATTGTGGTACACTTTGATTTTGTTGGAGTTTTTTGTTTGCAGTGTGTTTACCCCATTGCTATGCATTTACACCTGCCATCCACTGTGCCAAAGTCTCAAAAACTAGTAACGTTGCTTGCCATTTGCTGATCAAGATGTATAGACTCTTTCATTTTCTTCACGTTGTTAGGCGGATTCTATTCAAGAGGTTTATTTGTTACTTAGCTGGAAGCAGTAAGGGATGGATAGGGCTAATTGGAAGGACTTTTTCTTCCCCAAAAAGGTGGCTCATTCATGATTTAAATAGGAGGTCCAGACTTATTTAAATAGGTCCAGACTGAGTAAAATAGATTTATACTCTTGTTTGTTTTCTATGTTACATGGTACATTTGTATGCAAACTATGAAAGCAAAGAGACATTATGACAGCCATGATCCAACAAAACTCATTGGCTCCTCCTCACAAGGGCTCTTGACATTGACTCAATTGATTTTTGCAGCATCAGTGCTGTTTTTACACACCATTGCATCATCAGTCCCCACTGCTCTGCCTCCATGGTAAATGAGACGGACCTCTGGAAACCTCCGAGATGAGCCGGACTGTGGCAGAACACGAGGGCAGACAATCCTGTGGAGAATGATTTATTCATGCAGGCAAGATTGAGTGTTTGTGTCGGAGTTATTAAATGCTGCCACATCTGTCAGCAGCCGTTCCCAACGCAGCTGCTGTTGAAGAGCATTGAAGAGGAGAGTGAGTTGGTACATGGACAGAGATGTGTTTGCCACATATTACATGGGTAATAAAGGCGATATGAGTGCTTCTGAAACAAGATGGCATCTATTAATAATCCCCTCTCCTGTTATTAGTTGGATAAAAGTTGAAAACATTTCTTTTATCTGTTTAGTTTTGAGGAAAATATAATCAGAAAGCTCTAAACAACAACAGCAAAATAATATTTTTCCTCATAAACAAGTTTTTCAACCAGGAGAGGTGCAGTATACAACTATCAGCCTGTGTGCAGATTGCAAGGTTTATTTGGATCTCCATGCTGATCTTGGTCATGTAGAGAACAGTCAGTGGCTATATCCATTCTTCAGTAGGATAACTGAAAAAGCAGATTTAAGCAGTTAAACAGCCTTCTCACAATGACCAGCCCCTTGACATCTTCCAGTCAGACTTCAGTCCTCACAACAATACAGAGACCTGCCCTTGTCAATGTGTTCATTGACATCCGTATAAATGCAGACTGGAAGAACCACAGTGCTGGTATTATTGGACCTTAGTGCAGCATTTATTGCAGCCTTCCTGGTACAGCACTGGACTGGTTGAAACCCTACTTGAAGGACTTAATTGAGTCGACTTAATTAGGCTGAGTTAACTCACATCTGGATGACTCAAAATGTCCCTTGGGGGTGTCGGACTGCAAGGAGGTGTGCGTAAGGCACGCAGACCTGGTGTCTTATTGGCTTTTTCTATGGGCTTACTAGCACAGGCTACAAAATAGCTGGATTAGAC